GGCCCAGCAAGGTGGAGAACAACGAAACTTGGGAGTGGGCAGGACGAGAGCCAACAAGGCGGACCTGTCACGGGCTGCCAATCAGCGAAAGTGAAGAGATTGTGGGGAACTGGAGGACATGGACATGAAGTGCGTTTTGCTTTACGGTAGCTGGCAAGTTGGGATACTTGCTCCAGTTCACCTGCGAATTTGCACACTTGTTTGGACTGGCTGGGTGGTGGAAGGCGAACATTGGAGACTTTACTATGGAAGTTTGAAGTTTGGAGTAAAGTACATCTCAATTTGGCAAAAAGTTCCAGATTCAGTACATCTCTCCCTTGTGACCATTCTGAGTCTCACCTTCTGCCAAGCTGCTTGTGTGGCACGCCGCGCATATTCTGTTTTTTGCGGACCGACTTGGGACACAGAACGAGGTTCTTGCGACCCCAACTGGCAGGCCATTAATGGGACATTTGAAAGGGATACAGATCATGTTGTCCCCAACCAAAGGCCATGCCGAAGTTTCGCAGATCGCAGCAAGTTGGTGCCTGACTTACCTCACTCGTCCGTTTGGTATTGGGGTCACCGTCCCGCAGCCATGCTCAGGCGGACTGGAAGGACAAACTGAAGATCGAAGTCACCAAGGCGGAGCTCTGATGCCATGGTGAACTTGTTGCTGTTCTGAACACCGGTGGCCAATGCAGAGCCCACTTTTGTGCTTACAACAGTGCCACAGTCGCAGGTTTCATGGAGCATGGAGGGTTTGAGGCTTTGGATTCACTTCCCTCTGAAGCCCAATGATTGTTTGAAACCGCATTCAGCCAGCTTGACGGCAAGAGGCAAAAGCGCATCAATCCATGAAATGGCATCCCTCACTGTATGACTCTTTCCACTGCACTGACGTGTGGCCGTATTCCTCGCGTGGCGAACTTGCGTAGGTACGAGAAATGCCCGAAGGCGACCCGAAATCGCCGAAAGGCAAAGGAGCTCCTGCGCAGGCGGAGAAACCATGCCGCTGGGTTGGGCAGGGAGATCTGAGTGAGCAATTGTTAATGAGTAGGAGTGTGGGGTGGAACATTCTGAGTGATCTAGGTCCTTTGAGGATTCTTGAAGCAGCAAATAAGAAATTCTGTATGAACTCATGGCTGGCAAAGATTCGCTGCATCTTTCTTTTACCATCGTGTGGTGCCTAAGGTTACTCCGTCCGTCTACTCCGTCCGTCGGACGGGAGTCGGAAGGGAGCCTCCCATGTCCGATGGTTTTCCGATGCTTTCCGATGCCCACGGTTTCTCTCCGATCGCACCGACCGCACCGGCCTGTGAGGTCTGGGGTGGTTCGAAGTCTGGTGGCGCAAGCCCGCAACGTGCATCTGGATCCCCTTCCTCAATGCAGGCGGAGTCGGTCCTCATAGCTCTCCAAGACATCTGCAAGTTTTGAAGAGCCTTTGAGATTATATAAGTCCGGATCGCGTGTATCTATATCATACATTCACATACGCATGGAGAAACCAAAAAAGAGGAAGGCAACAGAGCGAAAAGTGGCGATATCCGTCGTATTGCAGCGATCGTGCCAGTTTCAGCTGTATCAGCACGACTCTTTTCTGCGTCGATGCGAGGCCCGGATTGAGCAGAAGCTGACCATGATGCCTCCTGGCTGGAATTGAGTAAGCTAACAGCCTTAAGTTCTGTGTTGAGTCGGCGGCAGTTTTGGTCTTGAGCACTACCAAGGCTTGGGCAACGTGACTTAGCTGCAACAGAAGTTGATTCTCGAGACGAGGATATGAAAATTGGGATTGAATCGAATGGGGGATCTTAGTCCAACAGAAAACCGTCGTTCTTAGTCCAACGAGCGGAGCACAGAACGCGTGATTCGTCTCCGCTCCGACAGCCATGTTCTCCGCCAGCACCTTCACATCGTCTTCCTGCTCGGCGCAAGACACTACCCGCTTCGGCGTTTGACCGCAGTGGGAGCCCAAAGTAAACGTGATAAAGCAGACCTAAGGATCCCTCCAGTTATGCTTGAGTCCCTCACTTGCTATTGCCTTGTTCTTGTACCACTGCCAGAGATGTCTTCAACAAAGCAGTTTTGAGAGAGGAACGTTTCGGAATTAGGGTCTGGTATACTCCAGCTTTGTTTCAAGGCAAAATTGCGGAGATGGCAGCAAAGATGCCTGACCTGACTGAATCGTGATTCAAGAGCTTCTGTGGCAGCATAAGAGAGACCTGTGTAGAATGAGACGCAATGATAATAAGAAGAACCAAGGTCCAAAGCAGGCACTGGCATCGCTACTAGGAGCAAAGGACGCTACTAGGGCCTCCTGGCCTTAGTACTAGGAACTAGAAGCTACTAGCGGCTCCTGGCATGCTACTAGGAGCAAGGACGCTACTAGGGGCTCTCTGTTCCCTGTTGACCGGCTATGTGTAGGAGCGAGTTGCGCGGCACGCCCAGTGGCTACATCGTAACTCGAGCACAGTGCTGTCCCGGCACACCAAAAAGAAATACTAATAACTAATATATATATGTATATATATATACACAGTGTAGTAATAGCCGTGATCTATTTCACCAACTTGACTGAATTCTAAGTGACCTTTGATCATCGAATCATCGACACATTTACGTACAAAGGAGCATGGCTCTTTTTCTAGGGCTGCAGTAAAAGCTTTTGTGCATGGTAGCCTGCTAACCCAACCGAAAGCATCTCAACCCGCCAACCCGCCAGTGGCGCTCTTTCCACCAAACGGCTCGAAACAGTCCAAGCCACTGACCCCATGGTGGGTGATGTGACCCCGAGCCGGTCGACACCGAGCCTCGGCGGTGTACAGCCTCGGCGGGGGACGCGGATGCGTCCGCGTCCGAGAACGCCGCGTGAAGCGACGTGAAAAGGCTGCGAGAGCCGCGTGGAGGTGTTGGGGCCGTTGAGAGGGGGGGAACTTCGGCACAAGCCGATGGGTCAATTCCATGTGCTTTGGTCTCTGAACTTCTGGGCATAGAAATGTCGCTTTTGTTTCTTCAATATAATTTGGGAGGTGGAATGTTGGTTGCAGGCATGGCTTCCTGAACTGGAGATTTGGGGATGAGCTGTGGGACTTTAAGAGGGACTGTTCATAGAGGCGGCCGGAAGCACTGGATGAGGAATCAGACCTTTAAGATTCTGAATTGCAATCGGAGTTCGGGGCATTGAGAAGAACCCCCAGGAACTTATATCCTGCAACTATGAATTGAGTGCCGGCAGTGGGTTCCAGCCCCATAGGAGCCGGATAGCATGGGGCAAGTTGATGGACTTGATCACAGATTCCTTCAGCTTGTTCCACTGCTGGGCTTGGTCGCAATCAGGTACATTGCAGAATTTGGAGCAAAGGATGGTCAGCGCAGCAGAAGCTACGACAAATCAGCAGACAAGCATCCCAGGACAAAACTTGCAAAATTGCAAAAGGCTGTAGTCTTTCCATGGTAGATCACATAATTAGTACAAAGACATTGAGTCAAGCGCATCCGAGCATCCCAACCGAGCTGGCTTGAGATCTGAATACCTCTGAAGGCGTTCTGGGGAGGGCTGGGGGAAGCGCTGCCCTTGGTGGTAGCTTGGGCATTTATGTGCACGCTGCTGATCCTAATGTCATAGAACGTGAATGCCAACACCGTCCTCTACGTTGGTCTGAAGGGTAAAAAGTGGATCCAAACCCTGTTTTTATTGTGATTCTCATGAGTGCTCAGTGATGAACATGTCCCCTTGGCAACGAGCCCTTGGCAACGAGCGATAAGTATGTGTATGTATTATACATCATTATATATCCTGCCCTAAGCCGGTTCGTGTGCATTGTTCTGCTAAGGGATACCCGGTCGTGCCCACGCAGAGAAAACGGTAAACGACAAAACATTTCCATTTTACGGTTTTTACCGCGCGTGTGGTTAGAAAGTAAAGGGGACTGACCCGAAAGAAGAACAGCATGATTCTTACAACATTTTTTAAAACGCACATGCGGAAAAAACGGATAGACTATTTTTATTGTTTTTACCGTGCCTTTGGTAGGGGCAATTTGGCCATCAGACCTGGCAAACAACACACAATAAACAGTGCTTTTACCACGCCTATCGGTAGAGTTTATAGCTGCGGAGAGACTTGGAAATGAGATGAGAAGACGTGTGTCTTGAAACGAACAGATAGAAAGCAGAACTTAAAGCTAAAGGATAGGTTTAAAGCAAGAGGAACCCTCTGTAACCAATAGGTCAGACTTAAAGCGAAAGGGTTATATTGAAACGAAAGCGAGTTAGTTCAAACATTGGATCGCGCGGATCCTTAAACAACCCTGGAAAAGAGGTTACAAACAAATCAATATTTGCACCGCACGTATAGTTTTAAAAAGGGGATGCCAGGAAAAACACTAAAATATAAACATTTTGCTTTTTACCGTTTTACCTGGTAGAAATATAGGGCGACCGACCCCGGAAAAATACTATTTTTGATTTTACCGTTTTACCACGCAGGTGCCTCGGGGGAACCCCATAGCCCGAGCTAAACCAGCACAGATCACGCCGGGGTCACTTGAGACAGTGAGCATTTTCTACGTCGCCCGCTTCAGACAGTGATAGCTTCTGTCAACTGTGTGTGTAGATTGTAGATCTTTTGTCTACGCTTATTTACATTTTTACAAGGAATCCAATGGACTCTGGCCAATTTGAAGCCCTGATTTTTGATACTGGCATTCTTCAAAGCGGAGAGGCCAAAAGGACCCAGAGAAGAGCCACAGATATATTTCATGCGGCACCAGAAACGCCTGGGCACGACACGGGAATGAGGAAGAAAGACTCTTTGAGTGGGTGATGATCACACAGCCATTTTGAGCGTTCTCCTTCAATCAAAACCAATAAAAACATCGAAGATTGCGCTGGTCTAAGACCTACAGCCATCCAGACTGAAGATTATCTAAGTTTGGCAGTTCCGACTGACTGCACCAGTCTCAGCAAGACCCAGTCGTGCAAGAGCTTTTTCATCCGTATTTTTCAACCTTTCTGAAGCCATGGATGCTGTGCTCGTGGTGGCGGGTTTGGCACTTCTATGGGTGCCCATACATGTGAGCCTCACCTTCAGCGATTTTGTGGACCTGAGACAATGGATTTCCTCCATGACAGAGCGGGAGGTACAGGCCAGATTTGCCAGTGCAGATGCAGATGTGTTATGACAAGGGATGGTGATGTGAGGGATGGTCATGAACTGTCATCCAAAAAAGGACATCGGTACTTGGGGCCAGGAACCATCAAGGGTTTGATGAGTGTACAGTACCCTTGCCCATCCCTAATTAAATTCATCCATTGTGAACGGAACCCTGCAAACTCGGATACCATAGACATATAAAGCAGGGTCCATCCTGAACTGAGCCAATACATGGGTCCTGCAGCTAGTGACTAGTGGCTACAGCTAGCACACCACTCTCCATGCTCTCATGTGTTGTCACATTCCTGTTAGAACCCAGATTTAACTCCGTCATTGTGAAGGGGTAGTTCTTTGTTGACTTTGTTGAGATTGCCCTCCAGGATGAACGTAAGGAAGCGAGGGCAACCAGGATTGAAGAGGAACTGTTGAATCTTCGCCAGAGGAACTACAAGTGTGTCAGCCGCTGCGTGTGCCACATCAACTTGTTGACCATTTGTGGCTTGATCCATGAAGCCGTCGCAGTTCCAGGCTTTGACACGTTTGCAGCAGCTATATTTTGCATCTTCGGCTACGCACAACACCTGATGGTGGGGCACGAGCTGGTGGAATTGACGGCAGGTAGACTCAAGTTTCTTTCCTGCACCATGCATGTGATGTTGGCCCTGCAAATTATCAGCACCGCTGCCAACGGCACGGACTCCTTGAAATTTGCAATGATGCAAGGCTTTCAGGTCGCGATTCGCTTTTGCGCAGTCGTCCTGTTTTTAGATCCATGGATCACTATCCCTTTCCAGTTTCTGTACACAGCAATGGACATGTTTCTTGGCGATATGGTTTTCTAGAGACCGTGCTTTGAACCTTTTTCCCAATAAAGTGAGAAGTAAAATGTCTTGGTGGGAACTGCCTGAATTTGAAGAAGCACTACAGCGTTCTTCAAAACTATGAGGTCCGCGTTCCTCCTTGTGTTCGACCATTCGGGTGCGGCTCTTTCGGGGCTATGTGTCAGCCATTTCTTCATCCTCACCACCACCACTGCATGCTCCTTGATCGTTGACTGGCTTCTGCGGGGCCGATTTGATGCTCTCCTTGACACCACCGATGCAGAGTCATTGGTGTGTAGCTTCCGCCGGGTACTGAGGGGAGCATGTGACGGGGAAGTTCTACTGGACAGCCAGATGAAGATTGCCCAGGAGAAGGGCTGAGCACGAGATGTCGGGGGTCAAACACCAGCCGTTGACATGACGGTAGAATATTTGAAAAGAGAACAGATAGCAAATCCTGTGTGGATTGATTGGGCATCTTTTGACCAGCCGTTGATCGAAAGATGTTAGATTCGTGAAGGCATGGTCTTCCCAAACGAGTATGTTTGGGTACCCACGTGATCGCTTCACATCGCTAGGGTTCTTTCTCTTCTGTCTTCCCCACAGATGTCAGCGTGCCACGACCCAGATGTCTTCATATGTCACCAAGTATCCAACTGTCCTCCTCTGTCTTCCTCGTCGCGCCCGCAGGAGAGCCAGTGCTTGCAGCATTTGATCTTGACGAATGTGAGTCTGAAGGGCCGATCTTTTCCACATTTGCTGGTGGATCAGGATGGGCCACGCTTCAGGGAATCCTGGGATCCAGTTGAGGACCACCGTTTTTCCCCACTTGGACCACAGTCTGTTGCGTTTGGGGCGGAAGTATCGTTTTTTTGATCCTGAAAGGCCCTGCCACTGGATTTCCTGCAGCCAAGGTATCTAAGGTATCTAGATATATCTAGATGACATGCAAAATTTGGCTTTTGGGAGTCAAACATACTCTCACGTCGTTTGCTAAGCCGCAGCAGTTGACGCGAATCTCTCAACTGTTGCACACGTTCATCCGGCATTGGAGCCGCGGGCCGCGATGGGGCTTGTAAGACATGCGTGGTCCAATGAGTTCCTTTTTGCCCGTTTTGGCAAAACAGAAGCACAACAAGGGACGTCATGACCGTGAGGATCGGAGTCTATCCCTAGGCCCTAGGTGTTTCTAGGGGGCCAGCCACCAATCCCTTTTTTAAAGAAGACCTTTAGACTCTTGCATCCAGCTTTTTCTTTAGACCCTTCGATTCCTTTTTTCTTTAGACCTTTAGACTTAGCTTTTTCAGACCTTTAGACTGGACCTCTTTAGAAGACCCAGACTAGACTTGGCATAGGTATCAAAAAACAATATTTATCGAATCAAAAAAAATATTTACCGAATCAAACAATAAATATTTACTGAATCAAACAAAATATTAATTGTGCGATGAAATCCCTTGGAATTCCCAGTCGTGTAGGTGGCCGGTCCTCTGGTCCGCTGGTCCCCTGGTCCTCCGGTCCCCTGGTCCGCTGGTCCTCTGGTCCGCTGGTCCTGGTCCGCTGGTCCCCTGCAGTCCGCTGGTCCACTGGTCCGCTAGTCCCTTGGTCCTCTGGTCCTTCGTCTTTCTTTCTTTCTTTCTTTCTTTTTCGCAGCTGTTCTCCTTTCTCTTTTTTACTTTTGCTTTTCCTTTTGTTCGCTTTGCAGAGACGAAACCAAACAAGGAAGCAAGCAAGCAAGCACGAGCTGCTCACCTTTGGATCTGGTGTGCTGCTGGGGGGGCCGCTGCGCCCCCCCCCCCAACCCCCCCCCCGGGCCACGAAATCTGCACTTCATCCCCGACACCCGCGCCTGCCACGAAATCAATATTTTGAGGTGAACTCCCCGGTGCAAAATTCTCTAACCAAGCAAATATGCCTCCTCTATCTCTCTATCTATCTATCTATTTATCTATCTATCTATCTATCTATCGATCCATTTATCTTTCTATTTTTGTATCTGTCTATCTGCAGTTCAACATCCACAAAGTACTACACCTGCCACGAAATCTGCACTTCAAGGTCCACAAAGTCTTGCGCCTGCCACCAAATCTGCACTCCAAGGCCCACAAAGTCCTGCACCTGCCACCAACTCTACACTTCCACATCAAAAAGTCTTGCCAAGGCCCACAAAGTCCTGCACCGGCCACCAACTCTGCACTTCCACATCCACAAAGTCCTGCACCTGCCACGAAATCTGCACTTCAAGGTCCACAAAGTCCTGCGCCCGCCACGAAATCTGCACTCCAAGGGCCACAAAGTCCTGCACCTGCCACGAAATCTGCACTTCAAGGTCCACAAAGTCCTGCGCTTGCCACGAAATCTGCACTCCAAGGGCCACAAAGTACTACACCTGCCACGAAATCTGCACTTCAAGGTCCACAAAAAAATCCTGCGCCTGCCACTGGCCACCAACTCTGCACTTCAACATCCACAAAGTCCTGCACCTGCCACGAAATGTGCATTGCAAGGTCCACAAAGTACTGCACCTGCCAAGAAACACTACGACTACCACTACGATACTGCTGCTATTATAGACTGTTGCTACTCTTACTGCTACTGCTATTTGGAATATTTTTTTTGAGTCAGTATTTTTTTTATTGATGCGTGTATATATTTTTTTTATTGATACGTTAAATATTTTTTTCTGGTCTCTCACCCACTAGACTTGGAGTCTATCCCTAGGCATTTCACTGCCAGCTACCGATCACCGAGGAATTCATTAATTCCTCCACGGCGGATGTGTCCGAATCCACGGAGTCGAGGCTCTCTGTCCCCCTGTGCCTGCGAGTGTCGTTTCGTGGATCAGCAGGCAAGAGTTGTGTCTGAAAGCTTTTAAATCAAAGTCTAATTAAAGTCTATAGCTACTTGTTGTTTCTACTGGCTTCTTGTTCCTAGTAGTAAGGCCCTTGCTCCTAGTAGCGATGCCCTTTGCTCCTAGTAGAAGGGAAACTAGCCAACAAAGCCATTGGTTTGGCGTTTTCCCCTTCCGAGAGATGGGGGTGCGCTGTACAGATGGGACGCCGACGAAGTGCAGATTTCCAGAAGTCAATTAATCTTGGGTTCCATTCCATGGTACTTCTGGGTTTGGGTAGCATGGTATGAGCTCGCGATCCCTAAGCAAGTTGAAAGGGTTGACAAATGCGATGCATCATTTTAATCATTTTATCCTTCATGTTTATAAGATTCCCCTGCAGGCATACAGGTTGCTGCAGATATTTACCATGTGGCTGTACCAGGTCTTTTTGGTTCCAGTGATCCCTACCATTTGATTGCTTTCAAAGAGGATTCAGATCCACGTCCACCACCTGAAGCTCAGAATGATGCTGTGCCCTCCGAGCTTGTGAATGCTTGGGACCGGTCTCCGAGCCCTTGCGAAGCAAACCCTAGCATGTCCACGGTCTCGGGAAGCACAGGGAGAAGCTCACGTTTCCAGAACCCTTGTCCGGAACTGCAGGAGATCACCTTGCTTGTTGATACAAGCACAGAATTCCAGGATGTGCAACGGGCACACGTGAACTTTGAGCGGAAAGAGGACAGGGATCGTTCGATGTCTACCTTCCGCTCTACAATGCCCAGCTTGCACAAGCTCCTGAAACCCAGCGATTGGGAGAAGATTGGCTCAAGCATTAGAAGGTTTGTTGAGAGGGGCTCGCAGGATCCGCAAATTCAAATCAAGAAGCTAAAGCGGATGACCTTCCAGTTGCCTGGTCAAAGTGGATGGATGATTGCCGAGGAGGCCACTTTGCACCTAATACAAGGCACCCAAAAAGTGTGGCTGTATTTGAAAGGTTTTCGCCCGGAGAAAGCCCTGGGTTTGTTGCCCCTGGATGGAATTCAGGAGGGTGGCATGAGAGAGCGCAGACGTGCAGGCAATCCCCTGACCTCCGATCCAGGATCGGACAGGAGCTCAACTTTTAATTGAACCTGGTAATCAGGTTGACCATGAGCAGCTTGCAACGTCGCGAAACCTAAAAACTGCAAGGCAGTAACATGATGAAAAAGTGAGCGGACTGCTTTTGGGGCCAAACTGAACCCATGGTGCGCTCTGCCTTGTAAATGAAATCCACAGCAGCAAACTGCGGCTCAGGCTCTTGTCTACCTGCGGCACCATGGGGGTAAAACACTCGATGGAAGAGGACCAGGCGGGACCGAGCGATGATGGCCAAGGCTGCGACCGATCCAAAGAGCTTAAGAATCCATTGAGAGGTTGGAGTTGTAGATCTCTGCCAGACATCTCAGTTGTGTCTCTGTTTGAAGCATCCAGATCCCGCCCAGGTGAAGCGGATCAGCAAAGCTCTAAACGGAAGTGCCAGGGCGATCCAGGCACCAACGACAGCTCTGCACGTCTCCGTTTGATAAAGAAACAACGCCATGCACCGCAACGCCATGCGAGTGGTTCTTAGTGACCTTAACTGGGCCATTGGCGCAGCATGGGAGTGGCCATTGGACACTACAGACAAATGTACAAAGACGTATCTCCGCCTTTGAGAGGGCTAGGGTCTTCCCACTCTTCAGGGCATCAACAGCAAGTTCGACCTCATCGATGAGCACGTTCAGAAGATGATGGAGTTCAACCGCACCAGCAACACCAAGGTGCTCAAAGCTGGACACCACGCACGGTCCCTCCTGTTTTGCGTCCTCTTTTGCGGTCACCGTGGACCTCGGTGACTCCGCACTCCGCGGCCTCGGTGAGTTCACCGGGGTCCACGCGGCAGGTGAATCAAGTGCTGTCCTCGTTCGAGCGCTTGGACGATACGGCCCGACTCTTGGAGTTCACGTGACGGGACGAGATGGCAAAAGCCGGCGCCGGCTGCAGTCACCGGCCAGCCTCGGTGAAATTGAGAGTTACTAAGAGATTAAGTAACAAAGATGTTAAGCAACTTCCCTTGACTGGCTGTCCCAGTTCAACGATCGCGCCGAGCTCTTGCTGGAGTCCTTGGTAGGCTGGTGCGGCGGGTCGAAGTGACGGTAAAAGCGGCCGTTCAACTGGGAAGCCGCACAACCCCGGCAACCCCTGTGGTTCTGGAAGGAGCATCCCCACGGAACCCCCCAAATTTTGAGACAGGAAACCGGAAAGCCCGGATCTCCCAAGTCTGCCCAGCCGATGTGTTCGTGGCGAGGAAAGCACGAACTTTTCCAGCCAGTCAAAGAGGGAATCCCACCACTGCAGATCGACGCAAATTCAGCGGTGGATCCGGTGCATCGCGGCAGGTGCGACCAACACCCTGACTGAGGTGCTCGAGGTGATCTGTGAGACTGGGGCCAAACCGAAACGGAAAACAGCTAGACCAGCTAGATTAGCTAGATATGACAGATCTCAAGTGTGTGCTATGAGAGGGTTCCGAAATCTCTTCACCCAAGATACAGAAGGGTTGTTCTGAACTGCTCCAAATTGTAAACGGCACCACTCGAAATCGGACACCTTTTGTACGCTGTTGAATCCACTGCTCTTTGAGCACAGTCTTTGGAGTCGAGCCGGTGCTGCATTGGATCCCGCACTTGACACGAAGCCAATGGAGGAGTGGAACAGATCATTTCTGTTGACCCACAGCTATGTGGGCAACTAGAGAACTCCCCAAAAGAGTAACGACGAGGAGACAAATTTTCAGGGAGCACTACCAGATGCACCAAAAGCAGAATCTTTGTTTGGACACACATTCGGAGTAACTGACCGAGAAAGCAAGCACATGCATCTCACACTGATCTTTTTTTAGACATTTGCCGAACATCCACCTGGACCTTGCCGTCTGTCCCGCCGTCTGACGGCCGAACCGTCGTGGTGGCAGTGTGCGGTGGTCTCATTGGACAAAGTCAACATCCGCCAAGAACTGGATAGCATCCCCAAGGTCGGGGCCCCGAAGCGGGAAGAACTGGATTGGGGGCCTAGATGTTTCTTTGAAGATCTATTGGTAGGAGAAATGCTCAATCGAATTGTGCTTAGATCTTGTTTTGTTCTGTGTTGCCTTGTTGTGGATTTGTTTCGGTTTTTCTCTTGATCTATGGCCATTCAGAACTTCTCTGAGAGGGCGAGGGCAGGGTACAGAGTGGGAAGGTTATTGGTGGCGTGCTACAAGATCGGCATGCGAACGAAGATCGGGATCCCTTTTTGTTTGAGGCCATGATCACCCTGGCGATTCCCTTTGTGATCCTCGTGATCGAACTGGCTGTCTTGAATGCTCCTGGATGAGCAAAGCAGTTTCAAACGAGGATAGGTGGGCAGTGGGGCAGCCTGCGAGGTGTCTAGACTCTAGACGATCTCGTTTGGTCCCTAGTATTTCAAAACCTCTCCCACACACATCCCAATCCCTTCAAAACAGGTCTGGATGTTTTACCGTTTTGCATCTCAACAGCCCACAGAGACAGTTTTCCACACTATTCAGCTCTCAATGAGGGCTTTTTGGTCCAAAAAGAGTGGTCCTAATGGTTCTTTTTTTCGATCCAATGGACACTGCCAAAGTCGGTGTTTGGAAGATGTTTTTTTTTGACGAGGGGTGGTCTATAGACGAGTTTCTATGTGAGTTTTATCATAAGACCCTGGGGGCAAATCAGGGGTGGGCAAAACATAAGAGATATAGGGCTTATTGAGGTAGCTAGATTTGAAGGGGCAATGCCTTAATCTGAAATTGTAAGATCTACAAAGGTCTTGTTAAAGACTAGTAAGTGTTAGTAACTGAGACAAGTTTTTTTTGCATTTTTTGTAACCCTAATGCAGGCCTTCTGAAGCACTATATACTGTACCGGTCACATGCAATTATTGCAGCTTCTGCACAGTCCTGTGTAAGTCCTGCACTGGGAGTGGGTATGGACAAGGACGGCATGATGCTGCTCTTGTTTTTGCTTTTAGCTGACAAGAAAGCCTCTGGAGATCAATTGAGAATGCTTCTTGTTTTAAAAGCAAGTTCATGGCTGGGTCTGCAAAACTTTCACGCCAGACGTCTGGTCTCACGCCATTCTGAGGCCTACCATGGAATCATCCTGGCCTCTTTGCCAAGTGTTCTGCTGGCCACAGATTGAAGCAGCTTTTGATTTGGCAGGAAGTTCTGCGACTTCAATTCAAAATCCGCAACAAATTGCAAAATACCTCAAACGACCTCACTCATTTGGGTTGACATTCTTCTGACAGCAGCGCGCGCAGTGAGCGCATTGGGTGGTGTTTCTCCTTCTCCTGGCAGGTGAATTTGAAATATTCTAACTACTTGATCGCATATGCCAGCTTCACTCTTATGGGCTGGAAGCTTAGGGTCCTTCGCACCAACCTAGTTGCTGTTCCTTGAGAGCTCAACCTCAGATAGCTGAGGTTTGTTCCTGAGCTTGTTGTGGCTGATTTGCTACAGAGCATGCGCCTTATGTGAGTGTGAGAGGCTGCAGAATTTACTAAAAGTTGTCTATTATTTCGAGAAGCTCTCACTTGTCTCGTTCATCGTTGTTTCACGCTTGGACGCAAAGTTTGCAAACATCTTGTAATTTTTTCAAGTGATCGAGGTCATTAGGATGAGAGAATGAGAAGTCCTGAAAGCCCTGCTTGGCAATCAGTGCATTTTCTCATTTTCCGTTGAATTGATGGGTTCTCTGGTTCTTCCAGGTCTGGCTCTCAACTCCTTGTCAAAGATATTCAACCGTCAAGACTGCCCGGAGCCCCTGCTGACTGACTCGCTTCGGAGATGTGCCGTTTGCGTTTTTTCTCCGCGGCTGAGGAACAAACGCTGCAGCGGCTCAGCCGTCTCCGGACACGCTCGTCCGACTTCAGTGAGGGAGTGCTTTCTGATTCCTTGGAGAGCCAGGCACGGGCTTTTCTGGGTGAAAGTGCGAGAATGTGATGTGTGTGGGTGTAGGAATGAGAACGGTTGGATTGAACGCGAAGTGAGTTGAGGCTAGGAGGATTCCTGGACTCAGAATGGAAGCAAGGGGTGGTGCGTGTGCCTGGCACGCGCTTCAGCCCTTGGATCTCCGCCATCTCAGCCAAGAGATCGGTGCCCGGTCCGTCGGTCGCCTCCGGCGGGGTTTGCGGCACCTGTGGCAGGTGCCGTCGGAGCTGGGGACCTCGGACCCGTCCAACTCCAACGATCTGACGCGCAGTCAGACCAGGCGGACATGGTGGGAGACCGGCTTGGGGGTTGGACGGGTCAAGTGGGTGTGCAGATTCTTTTTACATCCCTTTATTGTTTGAACCACCGTCTTCATGGCTGTGTTATCTGTGTTCTTGTGACATGAAGTCATGAGATTCTGGTTCTTGTAGTAGACCTGGTGGGAGACCGGCATGGAAAAATCCAGGCTGGAGTGTCAAGGGCTTTGGAGTTGGTTCAGATGAAGGACTTTCACTGATTTTCATACGACTGGAACACCTTATTGCTTTGGACCTCAAACCACTTTCAGACAGAGAAGTGCTGTTGTCTCCCCCAACTGACGCCTACGCTGATTCTACGCTGATGGTGCTTCTCCGGTCGAAGGCCGAAGAAAGAGCCGCTAGCGGTCTTACAAAAGCCATGCGGCTCATCCGGTCGGACGGACGCGTCTCCGATCGGAGCTACCAGGGCATCGCGACTCCAACGAAGCAATGACGCTACAAACGGGGCGCTCCTGGCCTTACTACTTAGTAACAAGGATGCTACAAACGGGGCTCCTGGCCCTACTACTAGTA